ACGAGACCTCACTCGAAAAAGGTATTATTTTATAGTTTACTCGTGGCTTAGAGAGACCTGAGTCACGAGGTTTTTAATAAATCAAAAAAAATATGCCCATTAAAGATCCAATAAAAGCCCGAGAATACAAAAGATTGTGAATGGCTAAAAAGCGAAAAAAAGTTGTGGAACCCAGAGATAATTTTGTGGAACCCGTGGAACCCGAGATAATATATAAAAGTGGTTGCGAAAGTTGCCTAAAATCCATAGAGGACCCAACTGAAAAATATATCTGTCCTAAAAATCAACAACATTTAGCCGAATGAGAAAAATGAAAGAGTAAAAAAGTTAGAAAATGTATCGAATAGACCGCAATAATTATCATTTAAAACTAAACTTAGAAACTATGAATAAAATAAATTATCAAGGTTTATTATTAGATTGTTGGGGGGCCTGTGAAAATCCCCCCGAACACCAAGCATACATAAAGAAAATGGTAGGCAATAATCATTATTGTCGCAATTGTGGAAAAGTAGGAGGAAAAGTAGAAATAGATGTGTTCGATATTAGAGTTTGTGCTGAAAAGATAAAAAGTGATGATTATAAATATTGTGGCAGTTCCATAAGAAAATTAACCTTTTAATTTCTTGGGTTAGTATTTTACACCAGCACGAGGTTTTTATGTTTTACTCTTGCCCCTGGAAGCAGTCTTTTTTCTTTTATTCTGCTTCTAAAAAATGCCGTTAAGACTACGGAAAAGAACAATTTCTAATTGTTCTCTTGTCATAGACAAAAGAACATGAGAAAAAATTCCGTAGGTCGAGGGGGTAACCAATCCCCCTAGTTCTAATATGGTGGGCTTTTTAAACTTTGGCCCACCACCTAATGGCAAGACTGATTTTTGTTATCTTATTCTTTGGATAACGGCATAAATGACAGTCTTGCCTCCAATATGCTAACCCGTTCTGAATCGATACCTACAAAATTGATAAGTGGGTTAGCACCATTTATTAATAAAGAAAATGAACCAAAATAACCCCTATCGAGCCCATTGAGAAAAATCCCAAGAGCAAAGCCTAAAACTAGCCCAATATTACACTCCGGAATGCCTGGTAGAATTATGTTTGGAACTCTTACAACCAACCGGAGAATTATTTGACCCCTGTTGTGGTTTGGGCTCCTTTCTTTTAAAAGCCAAAAGTAAAGATGAAAACTTAAATATTAGTGGCAATGATGTTGCCCAAGATTTAGGCGAATTACCCTTTGAATTTACTCAGGGCGATTATTTAAATAGTGAACATCAGCAATCTGATTATATTATCGCCAATATCCCTTTCAACGCCAAAAAAACCCATTGCCAATTGGTAGATGAAAATTACTGCTGAATAGAGAAAATAATCGCTAATACTAGAAAAAAAGCCCTCATAATTTTACCAAGTGGAGTAAATAGTGGGCTAAATCCTACCATTACAAAAAAAAGAATAGCCCTCATTGAAAGCGGAGTATTAGAATTAGTTTGCCAATTACCCAGTCATTTATTCAATCAGACGGGGATTGCCCCCGTTATTTGACTGATAAATAAAGAGAAAACCAGCCAAAACATTGCTTTTTTGAATGCCGAAAAGTTTAGTGAGTGGGAAAATAAGAAAAGAACTTTAACGGCGGAAAATATTAAGCAAATTTGTCAAAAAGGGAATTGAATTAAAGCCACCCCCGAGCAAATTAAAGAAAATAATTTTTGTTTAGTTCCCCAAAGATACGAACCATGAGAAGAAAAAGAGAAAGCGAAATGAGAAATAAATCAGCAACTAATCAAATATAATTACGAATTACGCTATTCTTTACATGCTCTAATTGCTGATGCTTACCAGAAATTAATGATGTTAGAAGAACTGGATGATAGTGGAGAAATCCAACTCCAATCCTGTTTTTTAGAAGGCCAAAGAATTGTTGAATTACAGGAAAAGATTAGTAAATTATTATTAGAAAAGCATTTTTAATATAATAAAGAAACAGAAAATTAATATGAAATGAAAAGTAAAAAATTGTAAAGAATGTTTTGAATATCAAAACAATGAGTTTTTTAGGAAAAATTATGGCTCTTTTTGCCCTTGGCACGAAGATAAAGAAGACCAGCCACCGGGAATTATCAAAAAAATCAAAAAAGAAAGAAAATCATTAAAAAAATGAAGAATCTTATTGTGAACTCCCATACTGATTCTTGGTGCTTGCTTTTTTTACTTGCTCTTTAGTTTACCACGATACTATAGTGCTTGGCAATCCGGAAGTGAGTGTAGCCACTACTTTATGTATGGTTCAGGAACCATGATTAAGTCTGGTGTTTATTTGCTATTGTTAGGATGAATGCTTTACAATGAAGAAAAATTAGCCAAAAAAGAACTGAAAGAATTACAGGATAAGAAAAATGAATGGATTAGGGTTGAAAAAGAAAACGAGCCAAAAAACCATAAAACTATTGAAAAGTTGGGACAAGAAGTAGAAGATGTTAGGGCTGAAAATAGAAAATTAGACCTTTCTTATATAGATTTTTATCAAAAAGAAATGAACAAACAAGAACCAGAAGCAACAAAACAAAGAAAAGATATAAAAACTGATGAGAAAATCAATGGCAAAACTATTGAAGAAGTTTTAGGCAAAGATTGAAAAAAGAGATTTGAAAGTTTATCAGGCGAAGATATCATTAAAGAACGAGATAGATTGAAAAGATTAATTGATGCCGAAAAAATCAAAGAAACTCTAAAAGAGAATGAACGGAAAAAGGATTAAATGAGTCATAAGAAACCGATTAGCACGAGGATTAAATATCGAATAAAACGAAAGAAAGACAGAAATAGCCAAAGATAAAAATGACAAGTAAGTTAACATTATGACAGAGCACCAAGATTTTATAAAAATATTTAAAGAAATGAATAAATGAGATAAAGAGGATTGCGGGCTTGCTTCACACCGCCAAAAAGTATTCTATAAAACTGATGGAATACTACCTTATAAAGCACGGATAGGATTATTATATGAAACGCCAAATAGGGAATTGGTGAGCGAGTTGGAAAGAAGAATAAACAACGGGGAAATTGACTTGCCCGATTTTATCAGGTATTTATTAGAAAAAAAGAAAAAGGATAATGAAATGCAATAAATGTCTAAAAATAATCCCCCGGGGGGAAGAAATAAGATTTTCGGCTCATAACAGTAGTTATAAAGGAGATGGCGGTGGATATGGTGGGTGCTATTGCGAGGAATGTTGAAAAAATAGCAGGTATTATAGAAGTTATGAAAATAAAGGCAAATCGGACGGGAATTCGGGCAATTCAAGTATTCCCTCGTGAGGTTGATTTTTCTTTGGTATGCTTTTCACGCTATTATTCGTGTCTTTTGTTTATTGAATATTTAATAAAGATTAACAAAAATATGTCAGAAGTAAATCAAAATAAATAGCAAAATAACATGGAAATTTCAACAATAATTTTAATCTTTTTGACAATAGCATGGTTCTGCTATCTGGCATATTTTATAGTAGCATGAATTAAATATAAAAAAGTGCAAAACCAGATAGTTAGACATTTTATAAATGGTAGACAAATTGGCGAGGCTCATAAATTTTCGGAATGGGAAAAGTGTGAGGTTTGTTTACATTGTTTTAAAGGAAAAAAATAAATCAACAAATATGTCAGAAAATAATAAAATTAAAAAGTTTAAATACCCAATCGGGAAATGTGAGGCTTTACAATGCTATTTAAAAAAA